ACCTGACTCAAAACAAGGACCCCACAGAGCCTTCCTGCCCCGGGGCTACAGCTGGCCTTCACCCTACACCGCCCCATTTGCCCACCGGGAGTCAGAATGGTACATGGGGAGGGAGGTTGAGTTGGACGTTAGGGAGTGCAGAGATGGGAAAGAGGGGAGGGCCAGCTATGCCAGTCAGAGCAGCGGGAGGGGCAGCATGGGGCCCTGTTACACCCAAGCCCTGCTCCGCCAGTCCCTGTCCCTCACCCCCACCTTCCCCAGCTCCCCAGAAACAACAGAGGAGACTAAGAGGCACTGTTTCATGGCAGACATGCTCAAAAGTAGGCCAGCCAAAAGGTGAGGTTCTGCTTTTACAAGCAATACCGTAATAATGCCTGGGGGATTTACAAGAAGTAATTTTATCCATTGGCAGGGTTCCCCTTGGATATTAGTATAGACAGTCAATCTGTTTAAGGGCAGCTTGCATTTATTTGAAGGGTAATACGGAACATTTGTAGGAATGTTTGATTACTTACCTGAATTTAATAAGAATGTCCACAATAAATGCCTTTATACATCTGCCACAAGGGGAAACACATCGGTAGACGAGAGCTATGAATGGGATGAAGTGGATTTCCGAGTGGATTCCAACACCCTAGGGGCAGCAAGCGCCACCCACAGCTATGGGGGGCAGGGAGGGGTCAGGGGGGAGCGATTGAGAGGTCAACCTCACTCCGCTGTCAGCTTCAGGGAGCTCCAAGGCAAAGGTAAAGTGACGACGCTGTGGTCATAGTCTGCTTGAATGTTCATTTTGCTGTTGCCACATAGTCTGTACGCCTGTCTCTCTCCGGATGTTTTAATATTGTTCCTGTCTCCCTCCCCTCTTCCCCACCCCTTTGTTACCTGCTTCCATTCCTTCACCCTCCATCCCTCCCGCTCCAGACATGCCAGCCTTGCCCCACTTAGGCCCTTTTGCCCGGCCTGGTCCAGCTATGCCTCCCCCTCCACGGGGCCCGTATGGCCACTCTCTCACTGAGGCTCGCTTCAATGCCCTTCGCCTGGAATACCAGGAGTACCGCCGCGCCCAGGAGTCTTCCTTCTCCCACGGCCCCCACCTGACCCCTGACCCTGACTCCGACCCTGACTCGAACACAGCGTTGCTCTGACATTTGCCACATTCCATCTGTCCGTCCTCCCCTCTTCCTCCCTCCCTCTCAGCTCTGTCGCTAACTGGTCGCTTGTCCTCCTAGTGTAGCAGGAATAGCTTCCCAGTGCAGGTTTCTCTTATCCAACTGGCCTATGTCAGTTGTTTATCCATTGGGTTGTAGCTCATTTCTTTCGTCTCAGCTTTCTTACTCCCTTATCACTATATGTGCTCTCATTTTACTTAAAAGCCTCAAGTGACTTACATTCTCCTTATAACACTGTGTCAGACCAAAAATATCTTCAATGAAAGTAGTTGACTCACGCATAATGCAAGATGTTCTTTTTGCAGTACTTGTTCTGCTAATTCTATGTCAGAACCCATCAGGGAAAGGCCAGATTTTGAATTGTTTGTATACAGGCTCAATCTGAATAAGCCCAGATTATTTAATATCTTATAAGGGGCAACATGACATTGAATTCATAGTTTTCCAAGATTTCAGGTGGTCCTCTGTTTAATAATGGCTGTCTTAAAGGTTTAAGCTAGACCAAACATCCTCTTCACCATTGATTGTGAAGAGAAACTGACACACTTCCTGATTGGTCCTCTTGAGGCCCGCAGCAAGCCTGGAGTCCAAGAGACCAGTCTTCCCTCTGATTTTTTTCAGCAACATCGTTTGACTTAAAGGTTCAGTTCTTTCGCCTCTGGTGTCAATGAACTTTGAGTCAGAAGATATGGGGGATGCGAAAACAAAAACAAAGGATGGATTTCTATTACTGCTTAAATGGTATTTTTTGACAGCCATACAAAGGGAAGTTCTGTATATTCTGCAGAAAATGAAGTCAACTGATGTTCTAGTAGCATTTTTGGGATAAAGCTAAACGAAACACCAAACAAGTCAATGGAAAACTTTTATGAAAGTACAGGAGGTCTTCTTGGACAGTGAAAAACTGGAAGGCCTTCTCTCCAAATGGAACATGAAGAATTTGACTGTACATTGGTATCTCCACTGTGGTCTCTGTGTGGTATTTTCAGTTCTGCACAGTCTTTGATAATACTGCCCACTCTTCACTGCATTTTCCAGTCATTGTGCCTGGATGGTTGGTAACAACCATTTACAGGAGAGCTTTAAATGAGTAAAAAGCCATAACAGGGTCTAGTCATTTGTTCGTAAAAAATGGTTTGTGCAGTATGTGTTCTCACATATTGTATCTTTTCACTTCTTATTTTGAATATCTAAAATCTCACTCCTCTGGTATATTCAGTATATGCTTTTTAACTGATGGGACTGACTCAATCTCATGGACCTGCCCTGTGCACAAAATCTCCACAACATCATCTCCAAAACATCATCTCCACAACATCATCTCCACTACTCATTGTTCAATTGTCCTGTTCGCAGATCAGTAATATTTTAAGTACAGCTTTTAGGTATTTCTTAGTACTGAGGAGATGTTCATCCCAATGGTGGTAACAAAGGCCCAGCAGATTATTTTAAAGAGTGTTTTACCTTCTGCTTCCCACTGATAAGTGCTAAAGAAGTGCTAAACAAGCAGGACACTGTAGCCCGGGAGAATCAGAGCATGTGGTCTCTGTTTTTGTGTTATGTCTCTAAATTGGTATTTCCTTAAATGGTATTTAAAACAGTTAAGAGGTGTAAAAGATCAGTGATGCAGAAGCTTTAAATGACATGCATTTTTATAGTAACAATTCATTGGTTTGCTCAAGTAAGCAGCTGTGGGCTTAACCTGCCCTCTATCTGTGAGTACCTGTCAGTGCATTCCAGTGAATATATTTTCAGTGTGCAAACCTTACCCATAGTAGGTCATAGGTTACCCAGTCCACGATCAGTATTGCGTCAGCTACATGGACGTTATTGTTACAGTTATTTCTATGGAGTTTCTAACAGCAAGTGTATTTTGACAGAGTACAGTACAGTTTGGTGGTTTACAGTTACAGTGATGTGAACCCTTTTACTTTGGGTCTGTCCTCTTTTAAGATTCATCCTCAAACTCATTGTCCCCCCATTTACATAGAAACGGCATCAAATCAAATGTTTCTTTACAGGGTTTTTGAGCTCTCGTTAGCCAAGCTGAGAATCTTCACGAGGTATTGCGCAATACCTAAAGCAGAGTACACAGATACTGTACGTTCAGTGGTTTGTCTGTTATTTATGAAATGCATTTATCATTTTAAATCAAAGCTCACACCCTTGCCTGTGAATTTCTTCATTTGCCTCAATGGTTTCATTGTTGTACATAACACAAATTTACAGTGAATGAAATCAGATCCTATCCACCTTAATTTAGGATGTTCGTATTTAATGCAAGGTCGTGCCTTTTGGGGAACATTGTTTATGATGATATAAAACAAGAATGGCAATATAGGTTGTCAAAAACACAACATTTGTTATAAACTTTAATTAGTATGCATTGATCTGAAATTATGGTCTAGAGTTCCAATTCTCCAATGATACATAAGTAAATAAATGACAAATAATTGTCACACCATGTTTTGTACAACAATAGTATATTGTTATTATAATCTTTCATCGAGTGTTAAATCATATCACAGTGTCACATCTTTTAATCATCATCATCATCATCATCATTAACAACATTGTTATATATTTATTAGCATATTTGCTACAAAGGTTTCAATATGCAAACAAAGGTGATGTATATGTGCACTCATTTTTGTCAAGCACTGTGAATGTTTTTACTGCAGTGTTGGTGAACTGTACCTCTTTGCTGGTGAACAGTAGTCTCTCACGTTGAATTTCATGTACTGGATATGTATATTTTTAAATTATATTTTGTTGTCCACTTATTTTGCAGATAATCATTTGAAAATATGGTCTTTTTTTCTGTACTGGAATGATTTGCAAAGTAGGATTTTTTTATTAAATGTTTTTAAAGAAAACATTTTAAAATGAGAAAAAAAATCTGATATTTAAAATGTACATTTTGTATTGTATTTAGAATATCTGCATTTTTACATTTTTTTAAAATGATTTTTCAGGTTTTGTACAAAACAAAGGTGAATATTTTGTTTTTATTTGTTCCTGTCGATGTTACGTTGTATAAACTGTCCTTGTATGTTTGTAAAAGATAATAAATTCATACATTTAATACTTGACGCTTCATTAACATTTGACACCTTGTTGTTTCTAAAATAATAGTACTAATAATAATGAGTCAAACATACATATGAGAAAATAGAGGCAGAATCACCATCTGACTGCTACAATAGTGGGTATGAGTGACTCCAGCATTATTGCTGTGTCAAATGCATTGTCTAAATTAGCTGACCTATCCAAAGTGACTCGCACAGCTTGCAGTTCTAATAGCAGCAGCTGGAGTTTGAAGCTGCTTAAAACTGTGCTGTAGGCAGTAACTCTCTGGTTGGATGAATCTCTTCCAGTAAACAAACCCCCCCCACACACAATGACTTTGAGGCTCGACACTCAGCCATAAAGAAAATACACTGCAATCAGCAATGTTGTTCACATAATTAGTATACCATTGCTTATATTATTTAATGAGAATATGTTTTGCCAAGATTAGAAATTTCTTCTCTCTGCCAGACAATTATTTCTAAGAAAATAAAACATTTGAACGGTTTTGCAAAACTTGAATACCTTGGAATAAAAAAGCCTTATTTCTGTACCTAAGAAAGACAGGGTAATGTAATTCAGCATTATCTGAGGATTAAACAATACTGTCAGTATAAAGTAGAAATTTGTTTATAAACAATACGTTTCTATCTAGAATTTGCACAAAGGATTTTAAATCATACAAAAGACACCCAAAGAGAGCGATAAAATGGCAATAAATTTGAGCATGTTTATTTTTTTAATCTAGATAACTAACAATACCTTGCAAAATAATTAATGGTAGTCAAAAGTTTATGGCCAACTGATTTTAATAATATAAATGAAATACAAATGAAATTATATAAGGGTAATTTATTTGGACAATACATACAAAACGTCTAACAAGTGTGAGCTGCAATGCATAGAATAAGATTTTAAAAGCTTTCAAGTGTTGATTGGGAAAAAGAAAGTTTAAAAGGAATTGTGGTTGGAACCTTAAATTGTCAACAAAAAAATAATAATAAAAATAAGGATCTATGTGCTCCGTCACATGATCAGACACTTCTCCTCAGCCTTAGACTTGATCTCAGTCAGTGTGGCCTGAGCTTTCTCCTTCAACTGCTCTAAGTCCATATTCTGGAGGTTCTGCATCTGGCCCAGGATGGAGTCCTTCTCCTCCTCTTCTTCAGCATCCTCATCCACCATTTTCAGCAGCTCCTCGGGTACATCCACATCGTCGCCCGCCATCTGGATCATGTTCTCATCCTGCTCACTCTGGGTACACAGAGACACACACCATCATCATTATCACCATCATTAACAACATCTTCATCAGCATCATCATCACCTTGAAAGATCTTGCTGTTCAATACTTTCTTAAAGTAATTAACCCTTCAGTTGACATGCAGGTCAAAAATAATCCATTTCTGAATTTAACACTGGCAATAAAACTTTTCTTTTTCCATGTTCTTTTTTTTTCTGAAATGACCCTAACATTAGAAACTAATAATACAAATTATTATTATGAAAGATTTCCTCTGGGTCGTTTTTGACCCAGTAGGTATAAACATAATCCACAGGAAAACTGAGGTACTGCTAAATTATTTATAACATCTATAAAAGCATAATAAACCATCTTTATTAATAATCTCTTGATATTCCTTCAACTGAATCACTTGCAGGATGTCATTCTCAGATTTTTTGACACAATGTCCCAAAGCAAGACTTCTTCTTGCAGGCAAGTATTGCTTTTTAGCAAGGAATGGGTAAAAGGGTGGGGTATCACATACTGAATCCCTGTGTGTGTGGCATGGTGACTCAGTGGATAGCACTGTTAAATCACACCTCTTGGGTTGGGAGTTTGAATCCATGGGTGTGAAGTTTGTACATTCTCCATATATTGTGTGTTTTACTCCTACAGTTCAATGACATATAGTTAGGCTGATGATCATTAAATTGCCCATAGTGTATGAATGCATGTCCTGTGACAAACTGGGATCCTGTCCATGGCGGTTGGCCCTACCTTGCACCCTTTCCAGCCTGTATTAAGTCTCTATGTCAAGCACAGCCCTGACCGGGAAGAGCAGTTAGAATTCTGATGAGCTACTGCAGATTTTCTCCATTAAATGTGTCTCTTGTATCCATTTTCCTCTATATCTCAGCAGCCTATCTAGTGTATGCGCTGACATTTGCCCCCAAATTCAGCAGCCCTAGCCTCCCTTCTCCTGTTCTGTGCGAGGTGAGAGCACTGCATGGTCTCATTCCTGACATAATGCTTTTATTACATCCCTTTCCCACTTCTGCATAGTCAGCATGAACCAACAATAGCATGTCTGCAAGAAAATAATTTGAGCAGATCACAGAAGTTCAGATATTACAGAAAAAGTTCTCTGCTAAAATATTCCCCATCGGCTTTGCTTTGAGGAAAGTTGTAATAACAATGTATAAGAAATGTCTGCTGCTGGTGGTATGCTGCTCTGTTGCCTCCACCTTCCATGGTCAGGGGTTTGAATCTGACCTCTCTGTGGGTGTGGAGTTTGCACGTTCTCCTTGTTTCTTCTAGATATTCCATTTTTTCCCCACAGTGCAATAACGTGCCACTGGGCTAATTGGCATCTGTAAACTTCTCATAGTATATGAGTGTGAGTGAAAGTGTGTATGTGTCTGCATGTGTGTGTACTGTATGTTAGTGCATGCGTGTGCCGTGACTTTCCACACATCTAGCACTACATGTAATGCAATACATACTGTAGTGGCCAAGATGCCTGCAAAAACAGATGTAAGTGCAGAGCTCTAAATGCAGCAGATCACAGCTGCCCAGAGATCCTCCACAGAGGCGCAGATGGTCTCGACATGCTGTGGCACATCCAGAGATCCATCGCAGACACACACACACACAAACTTTTCAGTTCCCTTAATCTACTGGGCTTCATGTTAACTCCATCTCCCAGCCATATTGTCAGGAAATCCTCTGCAACATGGGAGCCGCACCTGAATGGCACAGACCCCCCGATTCACGCCAGACAGATGGGCCTGTGCTCACCTTAGGCAGCCTGTACTTATCTCGCAGGCACGTCCTCAGTGTCGCCCTCTCTGCTTTCCTGTGCAGGAAGTCTGCATCTCTTTGCATCCTGGGAGGGAAGGACAGACATAGATTTAAGAAAGTCTATTCTAAGACACATGAAGTATGATGTTAAGTTGCAGCACAATTGGATTTGTTTCTGAAAATTTCCAGAATATGCTTATTCTGTTCTGCAAAAGTGAACCAGGGTTCTTAAAATTTTGAATATGTATAAAATTCTTTATCATTTAATGATTCTCCTAGAGAAAATGCATTAACAGTTCAGGTTATGAAGGTTATACAGTAATTATCTGGGCATAAATGCTTGATAACTGATAAAAAGTACTTTGATGTAAATGTTAATTAAGTAATTATATAGGTGAAAAGTTATTGGCTAAGTCTGATTTAACAAGACCGCCCTGTGCACCTGCAAGAATTCTTATACATCAGTAACTCATTTTTCAGATGTGGAGATCGTCCGGTCATTAATGAACGAATATAACCTTTCAGCTCAACAGTAAATCTTTCCATAAATTTAGTTATGTGCTTTTCACCCTAACGTAGAATCATTGTACCTTCATTTTTTAATAAAAATGACCATTAATGCAACAAAATGTAGCAAAGAAATTATACAGTTTGCACTAATTATACAGGCCAAGCATCAGGCATAAAGTCCATCCATCCCCAGGCTATCAGGGCCTGGACTGCAACATCCCCAAACGCAGTCACTGGTAATCTGCTGAACTCGGGATTGCATTAGCCTGACTATGCTTGACACTTTAACCATCTATCCTGGCTGTTACACTCTGCTGCCTTATTGTTTAACCTATTTGCACTGTCTTGTTTCATTTCAACACTATATATTACTATACATACTATATTACATCATTCTGCCATATGTGTCACCCTCTGTCCTTTTTATATTACATTGCACTTTGTGCCCCCGTCTCGCGCTGCTTTATTCAGCAAGCGTTATATCGTTTTGTATATTTGAATATGTCTTAATCAGCAATAAATAAGTTCCACAGTTTGGATTCGACCTTTTTGTAAGAAGTGTCAGACACTGACACAGTGTTTTGCACAACTAGATAACACTTGAATCCCCAAGAACTAAAAATGAGTCAGAAAGCTTTGTAGATTTTTTTTGCCAATCCAATAAGTCTCTGTGTATTAATTGAGAGAATTCTTTAAATGACAAATTTTAAATTATGAATTTGATGATGAAGTGAATATCCGACATTTCTCTAAATACCTTTTCCAACTCCAATTCTGAGAATAGCATAGTAAATACACTGCTGTAGCCCATGCCGATGATGGGATTTATTCACTTTCATTCTTTTTTTGCTCTATGTGGCAAGGATTACGAGAGCTTTACTCTCATCTGAGTGTTCTTATGCTTGATTATATTCGGCCTCTTAACGTAGATAAATCGGTTAAGTGACTCGTTCCATCTGAATCGATGGATTTCGCCTTTGATCTCTGCTTCACATGCTAGTTTCTGCACTCCTTGTAAGCAGAGAACATGTTAAGTCCATCGTGAAGGTCCATATGTAAGATGTGAGGTTGGGGGTTAAACGCGGACATTACTGTTCAAGTGTTATGCCTTTCGGCCTTAATGTGGGCATTTTCAGAGATCAGCTGCTGATCAACATGGCCTGAGATTAGGGGTTTAATCTCTGGAGCTGCTTTCTGTCTGTGTTTCTATGTGTGTCCTCTGTTTGTAGGGAGGGGGGAAGGGGAATGAGTTTTTGTATACAGAAATACACATTCCATTTATTACTGAACCATCATTAAGTCCCCACAAAATATGTAATATATACAACGGTAAATCACATTGCAGTTGTCCAGAACTTAGCCATAAATAAACGTGATTCAAATGCAATTTAGCTTCCATGAAGACATTAGAAATGTCTGTCAATGGAAGAACATAAATGCCACACTAAATATCATTGTGCCCATTGACTATAATGAAGCCAAATTAAATATTGGTGGTACACATGCCAACCCCCCCTGTCTAATTGTGCCCTTTAAAGACCTAACTATGGTGTAAAATCAGAATGTTACTTGAAAAACAAGTTTCAAAGTCTTTATTAAAAATAAAATTCAGGTTTTTGGACTGAATATTTAAAATCAACTAAATCAAAAGCTGAGATCAACAATTAGCCATAAATCACGGCCGTGCATCAAGCAGAGTTTAACTTTGGTTCTGTTCCTGCCCCAAACCGTGAGGGGGGACACTGGGACTTACTTTTCCTCCACTACCTGCTTCTGGTACTCCTCATACTCCTCCCGTGTCATGCCCGCTGCAGCAGCTGGGTCGGACGGGGTGGCTTCTTCCGTCTTCTCCTTCTCTCTGCCGAGGCCCATGCTCTTCAGGGGGTTTCCGACCATGCTCTTGATGAGGAACGCCATGGTGTTTTCTGTGGAAATGAATGGTGTTTTCCTTAGCTAAAATTGACGTCTTTCTTTCCCAGCACTGTTCTTGGCAGAGGAGTCCAGTGAGAGACCAGTTAACCAACCGACTGCTTGCTGGACCAAGGACACACTGATAGCTGAAGCTGCGGCCAAAAAGGAGAGAGGCAGTGATACCAAAGCCATAATCTGGATTAAACCTCTCAATCTATTTGTCCCTGAGGCAGATGGTGTTGTTTCTATATAAAAGAAAACAGTTAAAAAGTCACCTTGTGAAAAATATCGTCCCATACGAATTTATATTAGGTGTGTAAATAACTCATTTGTTTCACATTTTTGCTGGAGCATGTTTGCCTCCTTTCTTTTAGTAGGAACAAGGAAGGAACCAACCTGTGCACCAGACCAGAAAGATGGAGATGTAGGCAGATCCAACGGGCACCAGCATCCACCTGACATGCTCTTCTGCTTCCAGCCATGTTTTCAGCACGAAGGGGTGAAGACATGAGAACGTGGACAAGTTGGAGGTTATGACATGATGGTATATAAATAGCACAATATTAGTCAGGGAGTGCAAAACCTTTTATTTCACTTTGCACCCTCAGGAGGTGTGGAAGAGAAAGACACAGAGGAATATAAAAAATAATGGGGGGGCGAAAAAAACTCCCACGGCTGCTTATAACTAAGAGAATATGGACACAAAAATGCAGTGAGACTTGTGGACGCTGCTGCTGGGAGATACTTGGTTTTTAACCTATATTCCTAAAAATAAAAATAAACCAGCCCTTCAACAGCAAACACTGCTCTCAAGTGAGACGCTGCACTTGTGATCCAAATGTCGGCGCTGTTTTACAAGCACCGTGATGAATCAGATTAGGTTCATTTTATCAGGATTAAGTGAGTGTTTTTTTGGGTTTGGCATCAGCTGGACAGCACCTCATAAAGGAGAGCCTGGTGTGGGGTCTCTCCCGAATGTGGGGTCTGTCCTGAATGTGGGGTCTCTCCCGAATGTGGGGTCTCTCCCGAATGTGGGGTCTGTCCCGAATGTGGGGTCTCTCCCCGAATGTGGGGTCTCTCCCCGAATGTGGGGTCTGTCCCGAATGTGGGGTCTGTCCCGAATGTGGGGTCTCTCCCGAATGTGGGGTCTGTCCCGAATGTGGGGTCTGTCCAGAATG